TACTGAATATTTACGTGCATATAAATTCAAGTTGAATGTTGCTGACTTCGTAAAATTCGTTGAGGATGAGGTTATCCTTGCCATTGGAATAGAAGAAAAGGCAAGTATCTCACATTCAACTGCGTGTGAATGGCTGCATATATTTGGTTGGGAATATAAAGATCACTCAAAGAATATTTACTTTGATGGTCATGAACGTGAGGACATAGTGGTGGATAGGCATCGATTTTTGCAGCAATAGGCAGAATTACGAGACCGAATAGCTACTTACGAAGGCGAGAATTTGAATCAAATAATCTTACCTGCACTTCCGAATGTTGTTCCTGAGATCATTCCCGTTACCTATGATGAATCAATCTTTTATGCCAACAATGATATTGTTAAGGCATAGGGTCTAGCAGATGAGAATAAACTTCGTCACAAATCACAAGGTCTTAGCATTCACATAAGCGACTTTCTCTGTGAGTCTATTGGACGACTTGGGCTTTCAGAAGAGGATTGTTCTGCCAACGATTTGCTTCCTGATGGTGAACGACTCGTGTACACTGAAGCTTGTGTTACAATGTATCCTGGTACGAATCGTGATGGCTGGTGGACAAATAAAGATGTTGTTAAACAGGTAAAAGAACAGGCCATCCCAATATTTGAGCGTACTCATCCAGGAAAAATTGCACTGTTTATGTTTGACAACAGTTGCAATCACAATGCATTTGCTGATGATGCATTGGTGGTTTCGAGTATGAACATGAAAGATAGCGGCAAACAACCACTCCTCCATGATGGAAGAATGCCTGATGGCTCACCTCATATCATGACATTCACGGATGCTGATGGTGTAAAGCTTAAAGGTATTCGACGAGTTCTTGAAGAGCGTGGTTTATGGATGCCAAGTTTGAAAAGAAAATGCAAGGCGTGTACGCAACATAATCCTGATCCAAATAAACTGGACTGTTGCGTAACACACATCCTTTCTGCCCAACCCGACTTTGCATCACAAAGGATATACATATAGGAGGTAAGTTGCAATTAGTATGATATTTACTATTTAAACATAACAAATTTGATTAAAAATACTTATCTTTTTAGGTTATTGAGGAAGCAGGATATATGTGCATGTTCTACCCGAAGTTCCACTGCGAACTTCATTATATTGAATCCTTTTGGGCGGAAGCAAAGCAGTACTCGCGTCAACACTGCGATTATTCGTTCAATCACCTTAAGGAAGTTGTACCGCGTGCACTAGATTCTATTACCCTAACAAAGATTCGCAAGTTTTCACGTCGTTCTGCGCATTACATGAGTGCTTACGAACTTGGACTTTAGGTAAGGCGGCTGTCTTTGCGGTTAAGCGGTATCGTTCTCATCGTAGGGTTCCTGAAACCGTTTTGGAAGAATTCGGTAATATGTAAAAATTTTTTTTCTTTTTTTTTCTCCAATCAAATACGATCAACGCACCAATCATATTTCTTTCACGTGATACCGGTGGCGCTGAAAATCTCCCAATTGCTATTAAAATTAGCATTAAAAAAATTCTAACTAAAAAAAATTTTTATAATAAAATGGACAAAACAAATACGTAGTTTTGTAGACCATATCAAAGACTATTAACTAACGTATTTTTTTTAATGGTTATATATTTAAATAAAATTCCTTTACATTTTGAAACCATTAAAAATCATTGGATGTGACTAAGCCGTTTGCATCATATAAATTTTTTTTTTGATTTTTACAATGATATATTAAAATAAAGTTATTATAAAATTTTAATTAAGAAAATTATTAGTAATTGCACTACTAAAAAATTTCAAAAATAGTTTTTACAAAGTAAGTTTAATAACAGATGAATTTTTAATATTAACTTAGTAAATAACTCTGCAGTCTTAGTTTTACTAAGAAAACTTAGTAATAACTGCTATCATAGCTTCAGTTTTATTATGAAAACTTAGTAATAATTGTTATTGCAACTTCAGTTTACTAAGAAAACTTAGTAATAACTGTCATTGTAGCTTTAGTTTTACTAAGAAAACTTAGTAATAACTATTATTTCAGTTTCGTAATCATTTTGTTAGTAAAAAAATGTTTTCAAAGCTGTGAATACATTTTTTTATTAGGTTTCTTAGTAAAAAATGTCTTCGAAGCTGTGAAGGCATTTTTTACTATATTTTTAATAAAATACCATCTCTGAAGCTGTGAAGTCATTTTTTATTATGTTTTTTTAGTAAAATAATATCTCTGAAGCCACGAAGGCATTTTTTCTTACTCTGAAGCTACAAAAGTATTTTTACTATGTTTTCTTAGTAAAATAATATTACTGAAGCTATAAAGTCATTTTTTTACTATGGTTTTCTTAGTAAAAAGGCATTTTCAAAGTCACATATGCATAGTTTTCTTAGTAAAAGCCACTCCTGAAGCTTTGGAAATAGTTTTACTATTGATTTGAATTTAATTGAATTGAATCAGACATTAATTTGGATTTGATCAAATAAATTATTTTTTGATTTGAATTTGATCAAATCAAATATTCAAATATCAAATTGAATTGTGGAACCCAAATAGCTCTGTAAGAATCAAAATAAATTCACATTAGAGGGTTATAAGATCCTGATTATATATTATGAATAATGAAAAATTCATTCTTCTAAAATAATGATATATTATTCCTTAAGAATAATGATAAAATCATTCTTTTAGAATGGTTATATTGTTTCTTAGGGTCAATTTGTATCATTCCATTAGGATAATTTTAGGGACTAATTCTATCAATCCATTAGAACAATTTTGCATTGTCCGATTGGACTAATTGGAGTTTATTTTTGACTTAATTCCAATTGGCCAGGTTGATTTAGGTTGATTTTGACTGATTGATGATTATGTCAAATTAACAGACGATTGATTCAAAATAATTATGATAATATTTAAAAAAAAATTATTGTAACTTAAATATATTTAAAAACAATTTTAAAGTTAATTTCATATAAATTTAATAAATATTTAGGAAATTCTTAATTTAAAGCATATATACATATAGAGTATTTAATCATAAAATAATAAATATATAATAAAAATTTGTAATCAATATATTCATTATTATTAATTTAATTGACCTATTAATATAGCATTTACCATTGTACCTTTAGAAAGCTCTTTCAATTGATCGGTTTTTTCGGGAAGTTTAAGTAACGCATTACAACTACGCATACTGAGAATGCGACTGCTTATTTGATGACCTGTAGATACTGCTAAAAACTTCCCTTTTGTATGATCAAATAAAATCATAGCTCTGTGATACTCGGGTCTTGGATCAAGATTGATATTATTTGTAAGCTAAATAATAAAAATGATTCAATAGTTAGATGAAATAATATTTTAATATTAAAAATATTGATATAAATTACCTCTGCTTGCACAGTAGGTAGATTCCATTTTTCATAACCTGCGAGTTTTCTAAGAGTTGGTAAAACAAACAAATAAAAAGTAACAGTAGCAGAAACGGGATTTCCAGGTAAACCAAAAATCAATTTTTTTGATTTTTCTGTCCCAATAGTTGCAAATGTAGTTGGTTTTCTATTATAATGAATAAATTATGTATGTATTAAGTAATAAGTTAAAAAAATTAATTGATTTTCAGATGAGAGTTCTTTTCTTACCCAGGTTTCATTTTTATTCTACCAAAATGTAATGTTGCACCTAAAGAACGTTCTAAAGTAGGTTTTAATAAATCGAATTCACCCATAGATACGCCACCTGTGGTTACAAGTATATCAACTTGTGAAAGAGCTAATTTTAATACATTTTCCAACTCTTGTACACTAATGATAAATAAATATATTTATTTTAAGATGTTATAAAAAAAAGCAAATTATTTAATATATTTATACAAACTTGTCACTTGCAATTCCAAAATCTTTAACATCAAATCCTGTAACTTTACTAATTGCTAGGAAAGTTGGCCGATTGCTATCTCGTATTTGACCATATTTTAACTCATTTTGATCTTTAAAATCGATCACCTCATTTCCAGTAGAAAGAATTCCAAAAATTGGACGCTTATAAACTTGGACCTGCAATTAACATGATATTTTAATATTATTAACCTTTTAAATTTATTACCCCAATTTTATATACTTACTTCTCGTATGCCTACAGAAGCTAAAACTCCAATTTCACCACCAACAGCAGTTAGAAGTTCACCTTTTCGAGCCACAATTGTTCCAATGCTAGTATCCGATCCAATTTCCCTAATCCACTCGTTATCGCGTGCTTTAACATGAATCTCTACAGATTCTTCTTGAAGACCATCAGTAGAAGTACTAACAAGAGTTGTGTCTTCAACCATGACCACTGCTGTAGCTCCTTTTGGCACGGGACCTCCTGTTGTAATACGAGCGATTTGTCCAGATTTTAATTCTATAGCTTCAGATTGAGAAGCACTTGCAATTGATACACCAACTACTGGATAAATCCCAGGACCATCGCTTGCTATTTGAAATTATAATTATATGTATATAAACAATATAGATCAATATACATTTTGTAAGTAAATAGGTGATGAAAAATAATGTTATATAAACTTACCAATGACGGCATATCCATCAAGAATTGAGGCACGATAAGCGGGTACAGGTTCTTTTGCATAAACATCTTCAGCTAAAACCATTCCAACCAATTTTTCATCAACAGGAACAGTAATTGAACCTAAAGCCTCGGTATGACTGGCTATAATACTCAAAGCCTCATCCATCGTGATCATAGGATAAGGTGATTTGCGTTGACGTTGTGTAACTACAAATGCATAATGGTACTTAAAATTACATATTAAGAGAAAATAATATCAATGACATGATATATTTACCGGGACCAGAGAGAGGATCTGATAAAAATGGACCTGCTTTTTCATTCTCGTGTTTTTGATGAATGCAGTGATGTTGATCATTGCTAGGTTTTTGAGAATGAAATTGCATATGAATATCTTCTCCGGTACCTCCTCTCACTAAATCAGTAGCATGAGGCAATACATTTATTACTGCTTCCAAGTTTTCTTTTGCACCTTTTGGACTTCCCGGAGTTGTCAGGATTAAAGTTTTCCCTCTTACACCACTAACAGGTCGACTAAGGGCTGCAAAAGGGGTTTTTTGTAAAGAAGCAGCTAGCATTGCATGAGTGATTCCGGAGGAAATCTTTTGTAATAAAGGTTGGATTGCCTAAAAGGTATCCCAAAAAAAAAATTTTTTTTTTTTAAAAAAAAAAAACAAATATAAAAAAAAATATAGAATTAATTCTTATATACTAACTTCAGGTGTAATATCTTTAACTCCAAATCCTGTTCCTCCAGTTGTTATGATAATATCAAGTTTCTCATAATCACTCCATTGTTTAATAATATTTTGTATTTTATCGAAATCATCCGGAACAATTGCACTCTTAATAACCTCGAAAATTTTGTTCCCTTTTGAAGCTTGTTCAAATACTGTTTTTAGAGTTTGACCACTAATATCTTTTGTTGAATCAGCTGAAGCTGTATCACTTACTATGGAATTATTAAAATCATTTATAAATTAATAGAATCATACTAATTTTGAAAAATGGAAGAAAAAAATAAAATTACATACTTGTAAGAATTCCAACAGTATATCCTTGAACATTTTTATAAATTATAATTAATACATATTAATTTATACTCTAAAAAATTCAAACTACTCATTTACCTTGAGCAGAAATAGACATGATAAACAAAAGTAACAGTAATTCTTAACTGTAAAGAATATAATTTTTTCTCTTTTTTATTCTGGATTCTTCGGTTTGTATCACCTAGGAATGTTAATGATCTGATCAATCCGATTATTTCTTTAGTGTCATATTTGATATGTTTGATATAGAATAGCTCAAGTTCAAAATTAAAATGTTTTACCAATTCTTTCGCTGGTCCAGTAAAGAATGGTAAAAGAATTTTAATTATTATATTTCGTTTTATTGTAGATGCAATTCTTGTTTAAGTATATAACATGTTATTTTAGAAATATATATTTTTTTTTTGAAATATTCTTTTGGAAAAGGAGTGTACCGATAAAAAAACCAATTTCGCACATCAATCGAAGAAATACAACATTATGTTAAAGAGCTTGCTCTAAAAGAGAACGTAACGTGTATTAGGTATTATTGGCGGGATGCAATACTTAGTAAAAGAAATGCATGATTTGTATTTTTCATCCATTAAATTTACTGTAATAAAGTTCTGGCTAACATTGGAGAAGTTTGTTTAAAAAAGGCTTTTCATATAGAATTTTGCAAAATCATAATTCTTGGGGATTGATAAAAAGAAAAACATACTTTCATTATTAGCTATATATAATATCATAAAATTTTTAAATTATAAATCATTGGACATTGACCGATAAGTATAAATTATATTTATTTTTTGAGAGTCATTAAAAAATTATTGATTTTCACATTAATTACATTTTGGATAATTTAGGTTTGTCTATCGCTATGGACATTTTTTATTGACGTTATTGAAATCTGATTGGCTGTTCAAGTGTATATTAATAACATAGTTTCGTCGGAACGTGATAGTCTCGATTTATTTTTTTAACAAAAAGTTCAAATCATTATTAAAGGTGAGTAAATGTGTTAATAATTTTATTCCTACATCCTTTAATAATGGTTCTTATTTTGTTTCGCTAGTATGCCTAGAGGTGGTTTGCCCGAAAAAGTACTCTTCCAAACTCTCTATTGTGGTAAGTTTTATTTGTCTTTGCTATATATTAAATGCTCAGATAACAATGTACTTATGTTACATTAAAGCAGTGATGTGCACTTGAAAGATTGGAAGCATCTTTGGAAGCATCTTTGAAAGGTTTGAAAGCATAATTTATTAATAAAATTATTTGGATTGAAAGTTTCCAATCAAATTTTTTATTATTGGAAGCATAAAATGCATATCACTGCGTTAGAGTATTGGAAGAAACTCATTTCCTATTGAACTTGGAAAGCTGGGATGAATTCCTTTCTAAAAAGTATAACAAGACAAAATAAGAATCAAAAGAAAATGTGCTATGTCACCATTCTATTGGTATGGAGAAAAAATGTATAGGCTTATGTATACTATTACACGTATATCTTGGTCTTTACATCCCTGTGTATTATACATTTTCTTTATAGATAGGAGTCTTGTCTCCTACTGGCTTAATATGATAAATCTTTGTTGAAGTCTATTGATTTTGAAGGAGGAATCAATTATGTACCTTTCTCATATTATCAAAAAGTTATTTTTTATTTCATTTTTATTATTATGAATACACAAAATAGGAATATTTCATCAAATAATGAAACAATTTCTTCACAATCATTTTCTTCAAGTCTGATTAAACAACTTCTTCATAATAATTTTCTTTAAGTCTGTTTATTATTTAGAAGATAATAAACCATTACAATCAATTGATATTTTTAGTAATCATGTATGATGGAAAATTGAGATAGACTAAAGATGATGCAGCAATTAATTTTAAATTTATAATATGTTTGCAATATAAGCTAAAATTAATTATAACATATGTTGCAATATTATAAATTGCAACGTATATAGGTCAAAACTAATTGTAACGTATGTTATTGAAGAAAAGAAAACACTGGCAATTATTTTTTCTGATCGGTTTTGATACACAAAAATTCGTCTGATACACAGTATTCTTAATAAAACAATGATCATTTTTAATACTTCATTTTGATTTTATTTATATTACTGTCCCATTAAGTCCTCAATTGATGATCATCAAAATACTTGCAAGAAATACTCTTTTATAAAATGATTTACTTATTCATATTAGGCAAATACTTCTTCATGTTTTTGCTTTCTAGTAAGAGTAATCCTACTAGGAATCTACCTAATAATCCTAATCACAATTTCATTATCTTAGATAGTAATGTCCACCCTCTATCCTTTCATATGCATGTCCTTTATATACAAGATTTTGTATTTGAGATGTTCATATAATTATCTTTTGTGTATAACGATAACATTTATTAAAATCTTTTTTTTTCATGTAAATTTTGCAGATAAAAAGATTTATTGATATCATTTTAATTAATATATAAGTTGCAAAGAAAAAAGTATTTTTATTTTCCTCCTTTGAAACTTCAACATTAATTTTTTAAATACAAATATTTTTTGATTTTTTGATTTTTTATTGTTTAAAAAAATGCCTTCAAAATTAATAACTTTTTGCTATGTTCACAATTTCTGAGAAAGGCAAACTGTTAGCTATATCATTAAAGAAATCACTGGTATTATTAGGCTTGATAAGATTGACTCTAACAAGATAGCATTCCTGCAAATTAAAGCTTTCATTCCAACTGATTGAACAGCTCCAACAGAAATTAAATCTTATGAGATTGGCGACGTAATTTGTTTAAAAGAAAAGTTGATGGCTTGTAATGATTGGTACTCTGTGAGTAATACAAATGAGAATGAAGAAATTTATTATCAACTTATTTTTGATTGTTTATAAAAAAATTAACATTAATTTTTTTTTTGTTACAGGTACAGCTACTTTCATAAAATGCTCAATTTAGAATATAATGACATTTTAACAATAAGTCTTAATATTGTTATTTCCAGTTTTACGACACAAACTGTTAGAAATATGAATGGTTTTTCTGTTCTTGAATTTAAAATTAAAGAAAGGTTAGATGATAGAGAACCAAATGAATATATTCTTGAAGTCAAGCACAATCTGAACAACACTTACCTCGCCAACAAAACCAATATCATAAATCAGACAATAAGATCAATCACTGTGATTTTGGTTAGTGTAATTGATTACGAACCTTCTCCTGATATCTCGACTATTCCAGACAAACCGCCTTGGGTAAACACATTCTCAAGTTAGAAGATATTTTGTTAATTAGTTATTCTAATCAAAGCTACACAAATGCCTCAACAATAATACTACCGTGGAGTAAACAAAATAATGTTGACTGTATATCTGCTAGTAGACCAACTTATCAGACGACCAAAAGGTCTTTGTCAAGGAGATTCTAAGTCATATTAGCTCATATGAGACAAATTGTAACGTTAAAACGTCCTGTATCCTCCAGTTTGTTAACTGCCTTCGAAGTGAAACCCATCCCATGTTCAAATGTCAATGGTTGAAGTTGATGTAATACCTCCTTCAAATGTTGAAAACTCATTAGAAATTCCACAAGACGAAACAAAATGAATTTTCATTTTTCATTTTTTTTTAATCGTTTGTAAGATTAATTTCTTTAATTAATATTATATAATTCACATTTTTTGATATTAATGATAATTTAGCATCATTTAAATTTTTGGTTTTTTTTTATTTAAGAAAAAATGATTCTTTTTTTATTGATATTATTTTTAACTTTTATGATTTTTTTTATTACAAATTTTATGTATCATTTTTGTTAAATGATTTAATAAAGTGAAATGAATAATTGGAGTGTTTATAAAGTTTTTTTTATTGTGAAATTACATTTCATAACTTTCCAGCAAAACTTTTCACCTAGAAATTACTAAGAAATTGTTAAAAAATTAAAGCTTACTATTTTCCTAGGAAATAAAATGCCAAAAAATTCCTAGAAAATTTAATTTTATAATATCCAATATATGCCACATACAAAAAAAATAAATATATATATTTGCAAAATCAATCGTTAAGTTAAACAAATAAAAAAATTTGGTTTTCTTAAACAAATGAGAATGAACTTACCTGCTTTTATATAATTATCACTTCATATTTGTCCTTTGTATTTTGTTTCCAATAAATAATATATTATCTGATTTAGATTCTTTTTTTTGCTGTTTGATCTGTTTATTTAACAAATATTTAATTTATCATCATTCAATAATCTGTGTTAGCCTGAATATAATGAATTTATGTAAATAAAATCAAAAAAAATTGTTCTTCTGATTATAAAGAAAAAAAAATATTTAAAATAAATTAAAAAATAACTATTAATAATACTTAGCGAATAAATAGCCTATCTAATCAAATAATATTTATGTATTTGATATTGAGTATGAATCCGTTTGGAACTTTTCATTCAACAATTTGATCATAACCTTAGATCTTGCTTAAACTTAGAGAATACCATTATGAACATTGATCCAATCAATCAAACGAACATTCAGCTATCTTACTGGAGACTTTCAATTAAATTTCAAAGGTTATATGACTACTTTCGAAATAACATTCTAACTCAATATCCCAAAATCGCATGCGTATACTGTGGAAAATTATTATATTCTGAGAAAGCCTCTTAGTTATTCTATGACCTTCGTTCTTTTATCCTATACAACAACTAAAGATGAGGGACAAAACTCAAAAATGGCAATTAATAAACAGCTAAAATTATATTAAAACATAGTAAGGGTACGACAAAACCTGAAATTAGCCAAAACTATATTAAAAATATAGTAAGAAATATGATGAAATTATTTTGAGAGAGTTTCGCCTTATAAGAAATCGAAATAAGGAAATGATACATTTTTTATAAGGTTTGTATATATAATTAATGATTCTATATCAAAATTCCGTATGTTTTATAATGATTTATTTTTTTATAATTTTTTAAAAAATTA